GATTCTAGATGGTTATGTCTATCTCATTTTTCGGTCCTAGTGAAACTAACTCGAACTTGAATTATCGTAAACACCCCGAACTATGATTTATGCGGCAAGTAAATAATTTAAAAAAAAAATACGTTAAACACCTTTCTCCAGTAAATATTTCAAAACGTTGTCTTGCGCAAATTGTGCAGCTTCGTGCAAAGGCCTTTTCATATCTTTGTTGGTAACGTTAACTTTAAATTCCGGCATGTCAAAACATTCGTACAGATACGTCACCACATTCAAATTTCCTGCTCTTGCTGCCACGTGCAATGCAGTGTCTCCAGATGCAAAGTGCCGAAAGTGGCTCCAATCGCGAATTCTATATTTGTCAACAAGAATACCTACTCTACTCATGTCACCATTTTCACATGCACGTAAAAAGTCACGCGACAAATTAGAAGTTTCAAGCATTGCACTATTATAACACATGTTTTACAAAAAAAAGAACTCGCAAAAAGATGAATGTTTCAAAATATCAGAAGTTTTATAATGAGTAAATATGAAATAGTAACAGATGATCTTTGAGGTTAACACGATAATGGTACGACGCGTGCTGTCGCCAAACGATCCATCGAATAAACTTATCAGACAGTTGCTGATATCGACAGAGTGAAGCCTGAGAGCGACCATTCAGTGTTTGTTATTTACCGACCTCTGTTCACCACTCTGAAATAATCTTCTCAAACTTTTCTCTGTGGTAAAGACAATTTTTTCACAAGATATGTTTGTTTTTGCGATCTTACTTACTAACAATTGGTAAAGTTAATTTTTTTACAATTAAAACAAAATATATCAATAATATACTAATAAAGTACACTAAAAGTATTTTGTAAATGAATTTATTACATACTAGATAATTTTATTTTCAATACTTACAAAAAAATCAAAAGCTTGCACATAAAAAAATACATTCTTAGACTACAAATATAGTAGAATGTATTTTAAATATTTGAAAAATATGCAATTTATTTTTACAATTCTCTAAACATTCTCCAATTTATTTGTGCTGCCTGAAAAACTCTTATTTGTACTATTTTGTTTGTAATATTCACATTTTCCAAGATATTTTTAATGAAATTTTGTAGGCACTTAAAGCAAAATATACCACAATAAGTGAAATATTATGATCAAAATACAGATAGAATTGAAAATATTAAAAACAAAATACTAAACAGTTTTCTAAAGCACTTATCATGTCGATCAAATCGGATTTAATAAAATTGATTAATTTAATTTATTTTACTTTAACTACTTTTATATAATTTTTAATATCTTCTATACACTCTAATTTTTTTTTCTTTTTTTATTATATTTAATTATATTATTCGTACATATAGATTTAATATATATACTTTTGATTCAGATCTTAGTTCAACTTCTGAATTAACGCGCCATAGAAACTGTATAGATCGTCAAAAACAATGCACACAGTATCACTTTATTTTCGTTAAACAAGTTGCATTTGAATATAAAATCCGCTGCGCATGAAGTTGACGTCTAGTTGAAATATTGTGACACCGCGCTTATTGCTTTTCCGCTAACAATCAAGATTATTTCTACAGCACATTTCAGAAAACAGAGCGCGAATGTTTTGCAATTACTCATTCATTTTAAAAGTACATGACAAACGCAATTTTTTTCAAAAGTGTCAATTAAAGTAAAACACGATTACTGGAACATATTATTTAATTTGTATGTTCGTAATTAACAGCGTCGATCACAATTTGGCGGTCACATTTAAGCAGATTATAATTCTAACGAGTATATTTTGATGTTAGAACACGCGCAAAATAATCCTTACGTTTGCTTAAGAAAATCGAAGTACTATGTATTTTTCATTAAATGCAGTGTATTAAAAATTTAAAATTTTAGCATTGGAATTAAATCCAATAAAATGTATTTATGCCATATATTACGATAATTGTTACAATTTTACACGTGAACAAGCAGTAACAGAATAATTTCGCGTTTGTGTATTTCGCGCATCGCGGCGTTACAAAATCGCGACATGATTCCGTTCGTTACTTTCGCGTTTCTTTTGAAAGTAAAGTAAAATTAATTTTTGTTGAGTAGTATGCGTAATTTATAATTCAGATTTTCCAATGATCAAGCGCTTCCTAAGTGTATTTATTCCGTACAAACTGTACTTTCAAACTGACTGCATAATTAAGAGAGCAAGGAACACATAAATTAATACATCTATAAAAATCCTACAAGAATTTTAGATTTTTATTTTAATATGCGTTGAAGATTTGCGTGGAAGACATATACAGAACAAAGCGAGGAATGAAGACCAAGGGCGCGCACATAGTAGGGCTCCATTATGAGGTGTAGGCATGTCAAAATTATCATACATATTGGCTAGTCAGATGCCGACACGAAGATATGCTGTCCGGTCTCGAAACGTCCGATTATTTAAACAAACTCGAGCGATACGATCGCGGTCACACCCATTACTCGAATGCACCCAGTGCAGGGACGAGAAGAAATTCTCGTCCAAGTGAGAGATCCTGTGTATCATATGACGAGTCTTCGGTCTTTTAATCTTCTATCAAATTATTTCAAAAATTAATAATATGTTATTTAGTTATTTTTAATTATACAGATATTTATCAGTTTTATCAAACTTGTAATGTATAAAATATTTTACACAATTACTCGTACGAAAGAAATAAATATTTTTGTTAAATGATAAAATATATATATATATAATATACATTATGCATATGCATGTTAAAAAATATGGCAACATTGCATGTACTATTTAAGCTTCCAATAAATACATATTTCCCATCAGATCCAAGATTATCTGCCATTTAATAGCAATACTTACTATTTCACTAAGATATAAAATACCACATTTGTTATCGAAGAATAAATAAAGGTTATTGAAGAATGAATGCAGGGTTATAATTTGCACGTGAATTTATTTTTACACGAAACGCAGCTTGCACCAAGTTTGTACGCCTTCGTGTTAGACTTTCAACAATGTTCCCATTCAATGAATATTACCAAAAGCTGTCCGCGCTGGACGGAGTGTGCAATTTTGCTGCGGGGTGCACAAATGAAACGATCCCAGGGGTGAAACGCAAGCGTGAGCGACAATTTCCTTGCGTGCACGCGTCGAAATGAAATTCGTGTTGTGTGTGCGCGCGGAAATTACAAGTGGATACATGACGCGCGCTTAACTCTCACACATGAATAATAAACGAAGCGCTAATGCGCGCCTCTTCGACACCCCTGTTTCTCTTCGTCTTAACCGAACCGGCGTATGCCGAAAGCATACAGTAATCAGACACCCACGGTTTCATTATTAATTTAATTACTCGTTTATGCTCCATCGCTCATATCGATTACCGAGCGTAACGATTCAAAGTTTCTCTCAATATACATATATAATATCTTAACCACTTTCACAACCACTTAAGCTACAGCATACATTGCTGTAAAGAATATTCTATCAATGCATTAAACATTATTTTTGTCTAATAATGTAACTTATAAAGAAATTGTTTTTTTTTCTAAATGCAAGAAATTTGACATCTAATTACAGCGGTGTTATTCACGCTTATTATAACAATAAGCATTTATTGTAAAAAGATTATTAAAGGCTGAAACAAAAATTCTGCAATAGAATATTAAAACATAAGTTGTTTTTAATTACATTAAAAGTGTAATGTTTTTTTATAACAAGCATGTAATCTACATAAGAATAAAATCTTATCTTACATTTAATTTAAAAATTTTCAACCAATTTTTATGGGTTTTCAAAGACTCGGGTATCAAAAATTTGAATGAAAAGGTTGCAATTATATTTAGCCTTTTATATTTTTATGAATTTTTGTCACAAATTTGAATAAATTTGCTCTTAAAATGTTTTATGTACTAATTGCAATATTCAAAATAATATTGAAATATTTGAATATATACATTATAAATGTTACGGTAGCTACGTAGTAAAACAGTGAAGCTTAAGTCAATTAAATGGCAAACGAGAAACTAAATGGCAAACGAGAAGATATTTGTCCGTGGATCAAAGCGCGGTATCGAGTGGGCGTATCGCCTGGGGGGTCAGGCAGTCGATCTTTCGGTTTTGCCGCTTAACAAGAATCGCCTCCTCTTTAAATGAGACTCGATGACCGGGCGGAAATCGAAAGCGCGTCGCGATGACACCGTAAGAAAGTTACGAGTCCGAGCGCTCGCCGATCTCGTTCGCTGGTTGTACAAATTTAATTCGCCAATAGATCGTTCCGCTAATAGATTGTGGCGTGTGCCAAGTAAAAGTGCATCTCATCGTAAAAGTTTCAATAAGAACATTTTTTTCAAACCAGCAAGTCATTATTGAATCCTGTTTTTCTTACGTATTTTATTGCGCGTATATTAATTTACATTAATAATTGTTGCATATTGCTTGTCAATTGAAAATTTATTAATTTAAAAACATTTTTTTTTTTTTAATTACGCGCAATTTGTGTAATACGCATTGAAATTGACAAATATTTATTCTACATGTTTTAATTTCCCAAATTTTCTTACATTTATCGCATTTAACGCTAATGTTGTTAGCGTAATCGTGGTTGAAATCGGTTGTGACGTGGATTCTCGCCAATCAAGGACTATGTCGCCCCGGTGCACCGGCAATGTGCAAAAAGTCGACACGGTGACTTTTCTAGCCAGTTCGCCCCCGCGCCCTTGGCACAGCCGCCGGCAGATCGACCGGATGGACTAAGCGCGCGGGACTCCGGCGCGCGCTCGTCCGCCCCCGCCTCGCAAGATCTTCTCTCCCTGTACGACGAAAGAGGAAATGTCCTGCAGCTTTGGGTCGATCTTTCGGGTGCGGCGGTACAATAAAAAACAGTCCAGTCAGCGGGGCGTGGATCGCCGATGGCACGGACGGCCACGTCTCGTTCATCGAGTCGACAATCGTCTCTCGGCCCTATTGCGACGCCCGTTTCTTTATTTCTTCCTTGCCGTTCGCACTCTCAGTTTATCGTCATCATACTGATCGATTCGTTCGATTGGCATTAGCAAGTTTGTCAGTTGCCGAGCTTTCAGTTTAGAAAGCAATTTTCCGTATAAAGAATAATCTCTTTCTTGATTTTATATTACAATTAACGTCATTTAAATGTCCTTAATTGCAGTAATTAATTCATCAATTAAATTCTATCCATTTTCTTATTTATCTTATTTATTTAATTTCTAAAGATTCTAAATTTCTTATTTATTTTTTACATAATAATAAAAGAGCACGAATAATATTAAATTCATTTCGCACTACTGTATTCAGTTATCAACTTACTCTACCTTTCATACAAGATCACTGATTTCTTTCTAAATAATTGTTTCTCTTTATGAAACTCTAACAAGAAAATCACAATTGTATCTAATTGTTCTAAAAAGAGAATATCTTGGTGTGTTTTGACATCGGAGCAATGTTGGCTACGTCGTATCAGCTGTACGTTCTATCAGCTGCGAGACGAGCGAGGCGCAGTAGGAACAGAATGGAAGGTGGAAAAGGGAATACCACATCTAATTGTAAGCGGCG